TTTGGTTTTGTTTTTATTTTTTTATTTTTTGTGTTTCCTTTCGGAAATAGGTGGCGCCTGTTCGTTTTAATAATGGGCTGCTACGGGTGCATAAGCACGGGAATCTCGCACTTTTTCGTACCAGATACAGGCGTTGGGCACAAAGGGAAGTAAACCCTGTTGAGCTTAACTATAGTTCGACTCTGTGGGATGACCCGTGGGGAAGGGGGCGACTGCTCGTTTTTCAGGGAAACGAGTTGCCCTGCCCCTAGGAAAAAGAAAAAATGTACGTGGCCACGGGCGTGGAATAGATACAGGGGGTAAAAGGTTCTAGGGATGAAGAGACTGCGCCTGTTCATTTTTTTGAACAGATTACAGTCTGGTTGGGTACAACCATTTCCTGGAGCATGTGGCCTGCAGGGAAGGCCAGATGCTTCCGGAAATGGATAACCATGGTTCCCTAGGGAAAAACCAAGACTCCTAACTCCTGGTGGGCCGTTGATTTAGATCAAGGGTCAGAAACATTGACGAATTTCGCCTAGTTGTGGGCAAAGCAGCTGCCTACATGTCTTCGACTGGCTATAAAGTCAGCACTCCCCCCGACAGCCTCACACTTGTGGCAGTGTTATTGGGCCATTCACTTGAGAGAATGCTGGCTGGTTGCTATTGTGGGGCGGTGTTGCTGGTGGAGGAGAATGGAGGTCTGCAGAGAGTTGGAGGAGGAGAAGGGAGGCAGCCATAGCTGAGGGTTGAGAGTTTTTTGCCCCACCCTTATGCGTGTGTTGTGTGTGTGGGCAGGTGCTGCGGCTGTAAGGTCGACGGTAACGACACTTTCGATAGGGAAATGTTGCTAATTTGTTTTTGGCAAGGCAGCAGCAACACTTCAGTGGGGAGGTGCTATCGGAATGACGGCGTGGTGGCATCAAGGCCTTCAATTTCCAAAGGGGAAGGGTTGTCCGTTTGGCATATGTGGTTTTTATGCGGCATATGCGGTTTTGAGTCAGAGCTACCTTTATTTTTTTTTTGCGGCATGCAGTGCGAGCGTTTTTTAAGTTTGAGACCACCCGGTGCTGCGGCGGTAATGTGGGACCATCTGGGACCATTTTTGGACCAGGTTGGACTGATTTTGAGAATGGGACATGCACGATGTGGCTATTGTGAGCGAACGTGGTGATTGGAGAGGCATGGACTTGCAATTGGTTGAGAGTGTCCTTGGTGGGTGAAGTACAGTTGGGACTGTGTTGGGACAGTCTGGGACATTGGGGCCGGATTAAGCAAGGATTAGTTTGGGACATTGGGAACAAATAAAACTTATTGTGGGAACACCCTCCTGAAGGGCTATCTCGCTTGAGTTTTTTTGTGGTCCAACCTCTGTTCTTTTGGACAGTTGAGAGAGGACGTGGACCCTGATTTAGAAGAGAGGTCATAACTTTCGGAGTTGTAAGCCGTATATTTTCATATTCTACGACAGTTATTTTCATTTGATTGAAGTATTACTCGGCTTTCTTGAGTGAGCCTGATCAAACTTCATTTAAGGTTATTCAGTTGATTGATTTAGATTTCCCTTTACACCTGTGTGAACACATACTTTGCTTGACCCTGTTAATTGAATGTCCGTTGAAAAGGTAGAGGGAAGTTGTGCGTGTGTGCATGTGAATGAAAATGTCTGACTTGAGTATGAGATTGCACTGGTTTTCTCTTGAACTTGTTATCTTTGCATGTTGTGCATGTAGGTCGAAGAGTGTTTGTAAAGGAGGTTGATTATATCTACATGGGGTGATGAAAAATATTGTTTTCTTTCTACTTTTCAACTGTCTGTTTGTGAAAAGGACTTGAAGTTTTTAAAAAGAGTAATTCATTGTGTGTCGTAAAATGAATGCGATTGAAATAAAGCAGATAAGGTCAGATTGACTTCGCTTTTTTTTCAGGATTGACCCTTTTTATCCCGAATGACCTTATTTACCTATACCTGTCCAAATGATTATTATTCTCTATCTCCTTCGATTTTCTTTCGTTCAAGTTACCCTGAACTCACGAGAAATAAAAATAATTGAAAGCTACTTACAGTGGACACATGCTCTATCTCTTGGAAGCATCTAGAGCGAGGGTTCGTTGCTTTAGGAGTCGGCCCTATTATCGATCCAGAGTGGACTGTTCTATGAAATGGTACTTTACCGATTTGGTGGAGACGACCCAATTTATGATATCCGAGTTTTGTGCTCGGACATGAGTACCCCAGACCACTTCCTAGAGGGAGGGACATGCAACACTTGAAACAATGCACCTGATCAAGAATCATTTGCAAAGCGGTTTGTCATCCAAGAAGATTGAGAACATATGAAGATGGATGTGTGCGTTTCTAATCTTAAGTCGGCGGTAGATGGAATGAATAACTTGGTGACGCGTCTCATCAAGTCAAAACTAAGGCAGACCGACTACCTTGTCGGTTGCATCAATATTATTGTTGGTAGCCAACTCCTTGTTGGGGGATGTATGATTTTTTTGGGATTCGACCCAGGAAGTCGGATTTTATTTTGAACTTGTGTTATTGGATGTATTAAATGATGATTTGTATTCTTTTAGTTATCATTTCATATTGGATATATATTCTTGTTGACTATGGTTGACTTTTTTTATGTTACTATATGTGGGTGTTATAACTTTCTTTTGATTGTGTGTCTAAGGGACTAGGATTAATTTTTCGGTTTCATGCTCGGTTGAGACCGTCCTAGTCGACCAGCGTCCGCTTCGTACCTAGGAGATCAGCATCATAGGAACGAACGACGTTCGGGTTCGCTTGGCGTTAACCAAGCGCATCTATACCACAATGAACGAGCAAACGCCCTCGGTTGATTTACCTCTGTGATTGCATTTAAAACTTTCGCATGTGGGTCAGTAGCTCGGTAGGGATATGCCCCTAAGGGTGGTGAGAGCCCTTGGAGAAGGAAAGTTTATACCCCACAGGAACATATTCTGTCGTAGGGGACTGCAGGATGTATAGCTAGCGCACCCGGCTAGAGCGGCGAAGGGGCGATGCAACCGAGGCCGTCTCGGCGGATCGCGGCGTTATTATGCATCATTCTTGAGTTGTTTATGATTTTGTTTATTTTGTTCAACTCCTTCATGACATGGCCGGGAGGGCTCCCGCCTTTTCTCACGGTCGATGCGCTCGATACCATCAACCTTTTTTGACATTTCTTAGCAAACTCAATTGTGGCGAGTAGGTGCAACTAGGCCTCTGACTCGCCACGATGCTTTTTTTTCACTCGCCACTTGTCTGACAGAGATTGTGTCAAATGGCCAGTAGTTCAACTCGCCAAAATTTTAAAAATAGAGTCATATGCATAAAATGATAAAGTGGCCCCAAAGTGCCATAAACATAAAAGAACCGTGGGGCAAAAACCAAACACATATTTCTGTTGGTCATCATGAAGGGTTATGCAAGTATGTGCGAACAAAGACAATGAAGAGCAACTAATAGTCTTCCGTTCGTACCAATGAGTCTAGCTCAGTTGGTACACCCATGAACTCTTGAAATATAAACCAAACAACAGAAAAAATGTGGTAATTTTTTTGCCACGTTGAACCTATGTTGACACCACATTTCAATTGTTTATAAACCGTTGGCCGGGGGGGGGGGACATGTGTTCAACACAAACTGAAGGAAACCAACACTGACCGTATATTGAGGACACTGAAACTTGTGTGTTCAACTGTTGGATCAACTGTTGACAGACAGTTGGTCCAACTGTTGATCCATTGTTGGTAGCTTGTTGAAATCTTGTTGAAGAGTTGTTGAAATGTTGTTGAAACCTTGTTGAAATGTGTTGAAACGTGTTGAAAGTGTGTTGGAATGTGTTGAAATGTTTTGGACCGTGTTGAAACAGGGTATTGGACCGTGCGCAATAACAGTTTCGGTTACGAGTCATTTGCGTTGTCCGGGGATGGGTTGTAGCTGTGTTTTCCTCGTTTAAGGACTGAGCACGTTTTGGAGTACGAAGATCACATGGGCGAGCGTTGGGTTTGCGCACGCCGACCGGGTACGTGATGATTGCAGTGACTGATGGAATTGAGGGATCAGAGACTGATGATCAGAGAGAGAGAGAGAGAGAGAGAGAGAGAGATGCTGTAGGCTGCCGACGAACACATTTCGGGCCTCGTACAAACAAGGTTGACTTTCGGTGTCCGACGAACACATTTCGATTAAATGCTGGGCTGCCCTCGTACAAACAAGGTTGACTACTGCGGACCGAAAATTGTCCAACACGGCGGTGTCCGACACAATTTGGCACGCAGTAACCAACCTTCCTTTTCTGTGCCCCTAAGATTGTTGTGCGTGGGGAGCCGAAGTCCACGTCACCCTGCCCTGCAACAAACACTTTTCAACACAGGTTGACAAAATTTTTGGACTTATTCTCTCACGTGTACGGAGCAGACGTGGGAGACCGTCAATTAAATGCTGGGCTGCCCTCGTACAAACAAGGTTGACTACTGCGGGCCGCAAATTGTCCAACACGGCAGGGTCCGTCACATTTTGGCACGCAGTAGCCAACCTTCCTTTTTTGTGCCCCTAAGATTGCTGTGTCCCATTCTATATAAGGCGATTTGGCGTGGGGAGCCTCAGTCCACGTCACCCTGCCCTGCAACAAACAAGTTTCACCACAGCTTGATAAAACACATTGTCGTGTCATGTTACCATTACAGAGTCAGCCGCACACACCACTCAATCGCACAAAGATGAGCATTACAAATGTTTGTACAATTGTGTATAAAAAATAACAGAAGTTGTGTAGTTATCAGACTGTATGGAGCATACGGCTTGCAATCCTCAGGCTGTGCACGTGCGTGCAAGCACTCACTCTCTCTCTCTCTCTTCTGCAAAACTGAAGGTCTTCATATCTTTCTTTCTCTCTCTCTCTCTCTCTCTCTCTCTCTCTCTCTCTCTCTCTCTATCCTGCACCGACTGTGGCCTTCGATTTTGCATCTCCTRGTTCGAAACGTCTAAAAAAAGAACYTTTCGTTCCACCGTTTGGTCATTGCCCCGCATCCTCCCTTCCATGTCGAAATGTCGCCAAACTGTCCCTCGTTGTTCAGGGTGCGGCGCACAGACTGTCGGTGCGCCTGTCCCCGTCTCCGGCTGCTGTACTCTGAGGGAGAATGAACTCGATGTCGTAATCGTCATCTGTTATTGTGGTGCGTGGAGGCCCAGGCCTGTGGACAGACGGCGTGCCAGAGCGAAAGAGCGCTGCTGCCTTCTCAGCCACGGATACGGAACGGTCCAGTTTGAAGACGGAAAAACTCATTACCGTGTCTCGGCTACGGAGAGATGAGACGATTGCTTGCTTTATAGATACCAATTTTTCTATCTGCTCCGCAGCTCGTGTCGTCTTCGTTGTCTGTTCTATCTCACATTGAATTACCATCTCCGCAAAAGCCAATTGTTGCAGGGTGACGCCCAGGTTCCGACCTTCCTTCCTCATCTGAAAAACTTTTAAGAGTGTCGTCTTGAAGGCGGGGGCGCCCCACGGATCGTCGCCACTCCGTCTCCACGTCTTGTTCTCCTTCATCTCGGTGCGCATCTTGTTGCGAGCGGGGAGGTGGTGGTCCGTTTGCTGCGATCCGACGAGCGGAATCCCTTTTTCAGCCCAAAACAAATGTTTCAGTTGCCATGTAATCTCTCCGCGGATCGTCGTCATCATTCTGTTGCATTCCCCCATGACAGCTCGAATCCCGCACTCTGCTATGTGAGMCCGCAMCCSTTCCTCTGCTGTCTCCCCTGCCAGTTTCGCCATCGCTTGCACCGCCGCGAAAAACACGTCCTCTGTCGGGTACAGAGTTGCGTCGTTTACCGCAGAGAACGCAAAGGCTTTGGCGACGGAACGCAACAGTTTGCCCTTCATTTTCTTCACGAATGCGGCGCCCTCGTCCTTCGGTCCTTGCACGGCTCCGCCGCTTGAGCGCACTTTCGTTCGTGACGTTGCGATCGGTGGGAAATAGAAGACACAACGCACAGGAGAGTGTTAACAACTCAGCGCCTTGTTTTGAATACAGCACTTGCAAAATTGAAGATTCGGCTATCAGTTGTGCGTTTACGAAGACACTTCTCCGTGCGTAAAGGCGTGCACCGCGTGGGGGCACGGGATTATGTGATCGGAGTGGGAGGGGAGTCAGTGCGACGTGGGTTTTTTTACCTTTTCCGGTGGCGCTGACGTGCTGTACGATTTGTTTGTCACCGACACGCTCCTCGGTGTCGTTGCCATTGCGTGCCTGCTGTTCTCCTTCTCTGCGCAGCGTCCTCGAAGGAAATGGCGAACCACCTCTTTCCGAAGCGGCGCTCTGGTCTTCGCTGGTTCTCTCGTTGGCCGACTTGCCGTTGCTGTCGTCGTCCTCATCGGTGTCTTGCGATTGTCTGCGGGAAGAATCGTTGTCGTCTCCCTCGTTTCCTGGCTCCTCGTCCTCCGCACCATCTGACTTCTCTGGCGCGGAACGGTCGTGTTCCTCCTCTTCTTCCACTTGGGGTCCGCTGTGCCTGTCGTCAGTCCCTCTAATATCGATTGTCTCCACTGTTCTGTCGTCTTTGTAGGATATTCTCTTCTTTGTTCTACGGTGCATAGTCGCGCTTCTATCATCCCGCGATCTTTTTTCCGGGGCCCTTGGTGGACGGTTCTCGGCGCCGCTTCCGCGCTTTCCCCGGACGGGGGTCGAGGGGGGCGACTCGTTACGTTCTTTCAGCGTTGAAATCTCCCGTGCACTCGAAGGGACTGTAACTTTCGATCCGGATTTGCGGCTGCGCTTGTGCTCCGTTTTCGCAGAGGGGCCGGCGCCGCTTCTGCGATGCTCTTTCGACTGCTTCTTTTCGGCCCTCGATTTCTTCCGGCACTTGTCCTTCTTTCCCGCGGCTTT